TTGAGGCCCGATATAAGAGAGACGGACTTCTCACAAATAGGCACGTGATTTTTAGGAAGGGCGTGGGTGATCACTTGGCTCCATAACCTTGTCTTTCCAAGCAGCCATGACAAACATTGGCCGCATGTGTAAAGCTCTCTCGTTTACCTCGACAGGTTTTGAGTAATAACTCTAGTTATCGAGCACAACCTATTCTCAAGTCTTGAAGTATCATAAGGCTCGGTTGTCGCACATTTATCGCATGTACCACCGGACTGCAAGTATCATGCGCGTCGAAGGGTGCGAACGTCGCATCAAAAAAGAACTGACTCTTTCACTATAGTCACCTGGGGACAGAGTTACTGATGATGAGTCTCCAACAACCCCCCGGATTTTCGACACCATAATAGCATTGCTGCTGTTAAAGACAAAAATAACTGATTAAAAATTAGGGGAATAGGGGAATATAAGAAAATTGAAAGACTTTAGTGAAAAAAGCAAAAAAAAACTTATCTAATTTCGATAAGTATGAGCAGAGCACCTTTTTCGCATGACCGCTCTCAGATCAAGGAAACATTCTGTTTAATCTTATTATTAGTTCAATTTCTTAGTTTATCATTTTTTAGTCGTCGATGTAATGGCGAACTTTCCTTGGTAAGTAAACGATGTAGATTGGCAGAAGATAACAAAAAAAACTATGTTTTATGCACAGTTCGTGATCTAGAAGAGGCACGCATAAACGCTTAATTATCATAATTCTGGATGAAACATTTTTTTGTTCGAATCTTCATCGTAAAATGCGCTTGAATTCCAATAGTTTTTTAAAATTTCTTAAATTTTTTAATGGTTAATTTTTTATTCTGGCATTTCTTATCATTTATATTGTATTATGTTTTAAAATTACTTTTTTTTAAAATTGAATGAAGAATGATGCCTAATTTTTTAAATTATTAACAGGATTTTCGCTTCATTATCGTAAAATTTTTTGTTTTCAGCGTAAAAGGTTTTTTAAAGTTCAAGTAATTTATCAAAAAATAAAATAAAATCGATCGGATTTTAAGTACCGTTGAAGGTTTACTCTGAATAAGCAACTAGGACAGGATTCATGTTGCTTATTGCCATTATACAGATTTTCATGACAAAAGGTATTCTCTTATCATAAGCAGAAAATCTTTTGCAAGGGTTATTTATTTGCATTCCAGGCAACTAAGTCTTTCTATCTTTCAAAAATCCTAGTGGTGCTGGCGACTCGCCTACACTTCCCTTATCATGACTTTCTGGAAAAATTTATTTGGCCCAATAGGTCTAACCGTGAGCGCTCTTAGAAAAATAAAAATTTATGTACTTATTATTGAATATATAAAATGTTGGTGAATGAAGTGGAATTAATAAAAACAATAGGAAAAAGACTGAAAGACTATTGGAGAAAAAAAGCAAGACAAAGATATAATTTAAGAAATATGCATTAGCAAAGTAGGCTTGCACAGGTCCAAATTATCATAGATAATTATCGATGGAGCTAGGAAATGGATATAGCAATTTTGGGCAATTTGTTCGAACAATTTATGGCGTGTATAAAAGATTATATGGCCTAGACCCACTTTTAAATAGACCTCAATGATTTTAGCTCATTACTTCGAGTTATACTGGAATTTATGCTAAATTTATGATTTTTGTTATTTTTATTATTAAGATTTGCACTGCCACGAGCGATTTTATATATGCACATCAAATTTTGTAATTTATTCATTAAAACATCCAAGAAGGGCTAATAAAGATAAGCTGAAATTCAAGCCAGGCCAACTCCAGCTGTTGAGATGGGATCCTCTTGTCAAAGAGTCACTTGGTGATAGAAGTGTAAGTGAGTCGCGAATATTCATTAGATTCTAGTTCATGTCCTATTATTGGACTACACTGGATAATTTTTCACCAAGCACAACTAAATATAGTACAAAATACAAAATGTCACATTATATAAATGTAATGATTAATATGGAGCTCCTTTTGGTACTCTTTGGTACTCCACACTTTTTGATGTTTTGATGTCGTCTTGTGTTCCTGGTTTGTTGAAATCAAATGGCTTGATTGTACTTATTTATAGCATCGGGTTTTTATTTTTTTCAATATGTGCATTATACTCATTTATTACATATATATATATATATATATATTCATTTATTTGTGAACAGTTATTTTGCTATAAATTGTTGTAATCTATAAAAAAAGATTATTATTAAAATACATTATTGTACTGTGGTTCTTGATTTATTCTAAATTGTTATACTAATTCAAATTACCTAATTATAAAAATAAAAGATGGCTTATGCTGACCTTTTTTATAGAAAACCAATTTCATCTAAAAGAAAAAAAGACTTTAATTATAATATTTTTGAGAAAACTTATTAGAAAATTTAAAAGTTCTTTTCTTCGTTAAAACAAATATTTGAAATGTTGATTCGATAAATCGAAGAACCGGTCAGCTTTCTGGCATCCTGTTTGCAAACATTTCTTCATAATTTAATTTATCGATGGATAATGGCAACAAAGAAATTCATAAATAAGGTAAGAAATTCTCATTTTTCAATTATTTTCTTTTCAAATAGATTCTTTAAAAAAATTGGAAAATTTATATTAATGTAATTTCGTTTTTTTCGTTTTAAATTTCTACTTTTTTTTAAATAAATTTTTGTAAAATTTATTTCATCCATTTATCATTCATTTATTTTTCTTTATTCATTTTCAGTTTTTATCGATTTGTATTTCTCGTTTTTATTTTAAAAATAAAAGAGTTAGGTGATATGAACAATTAACTTAGTGTATAATGAATAATTTTATTTAAAATTTCAAAATTTTAACAAAATTTAAATGAAATGATAATTTCATTTTATTCAAATCTTTATAATTTTTTTTTAATTTAGCGCACTTGTTTTTTTTTCACTGATAAAAGATAAGAATAGAGAAAAGAAGGTGGGAAATTAGTAATCAAATTCCCATTCTCAATATCATTCGTGAAGCCTCCATTTTAAGACAGTTATAGTAAATGTGGATTCAAATTCTCAATAAGAATAAACTTATCATTGGAACTAAAATCGAAGTACTACTATAAATCCATCTTTAGCTTTAGCTTTATCTTCGTCTATAACTTAAAGATTCAATTATCCCTCGTTATTTGAAATGAAATTTTCAAAAACTTTTCTTAAAAAAAGATGCAAAATGCAACTTCTTAAAATGGAAATGTTACGGAAATAGTTTAAGAAGATCACTGATCATTTTCCTCACTGATAAATGATCAGTGATCACTTACTGATAATTCCTTCGAATAATTTCTAGGCGAAATTAAATGAATTTTTAAAAAAATTTTAAAATTTTCAAAAAGAATTTTCACTATTTCTATAGATTAATTTATAAAAAAAATATTCAATTTTTGTGAAATCATTCAAATAATGAAATACCAAATTATTAGTGAAATGAAAAATAGCGCGAAATAAAGATGAATTTAATTTTCTTGCGGCAAAATTTCGAACTTCGAAAATTATGCTAATATGATTTTGAATAGCATAGCGTTAATTCATTAAGGGATAAGTTAAGAATTTCAACATATGGTTTTATATGTATTTCTCTCTCTCATCTATTGTGTGTCACACATTCATTTGTTGGTCCTACATTAAGGGTGATGGGTGATAGGCTTCTCTATCAGAGATCTGTGAATTTGAAGATGTTGCACAATATTTAATTACTTCTAATATATTGAATATCTAAGAAATAAAAAATAAATAATAAATTACTAATAATAAATAATAATAATTAATAATAATAAATAATAATAATAAATAATAAATAATACTAAAATAATAAATTAGTGATAAAAATAAACGCGAAATTAAAATGAATTTATTTATTTCATTATTTGAATATATATTTATTTATCCAAACAATTTTCTTATTCTTTATTTATTATCCAAACGAAATACATTCTGGATTTACAGTTAATATTGTTTAAATTCATTGCCAGCTAGTTTTAGAAAATATTATTTTATATATAAAAAATCGCATAACAAGATTTTCTAGATTTAAGAAAGAATTGTATAGAGTTTTGTCTCGTTTTCTTTTTTGTTTTTCATAAATTTTCTATAAATATATTTTCAAGGTACGTCTTTATTTTTGTTTTGTACCATAAATATGGAAAAATATTTATGAAATAGCCTTCAATTAAAATATTGTATTATTGTATTATCGTATTTTATATTATTGTATTATTTGTATTGTATTATTGTACGAAAAAAAAAGTTCTTTTTTAGACGTCGCCTTTTTCTAATAGCTTGCACAATTACTGGTTAGGCTGAATATAAAGGCAAGTCTTGTAATGCGCTCGATCCCAATACCACTTATTTGACAATAACCCATTCTTTTTCGCGTCTTCTACTCCTATGTTAGATGTGAAAATTTTATTATTTATTCGTTAATTAATATTTTTATTATTATTATCTTTATTATTATTGCATATATTTAGATAAAAAATCTTTAAATTGCACTTTCATATATATAACTAAGTGGTTATGCGGCGAAAGGATTATCAAAACGCTTAAGCCTAGTAGTGAGCGTAACTAGCAATACTAGAAAATTTCTCTTTTCGTTTTTACAAGAAAAGATTTAATTATATAAAAATTTTAGGTAATAATCGAAATAAAGCATTATGTTATTGTCGTTTTTTTTCATTCTATTCATCAGTTATATTTCACTACAAATTTATGCTTATCATCCGCCATTAAGCGTTTGTTTTTATTTTATTTTTTCTTTTTATTAAAATAATATAAATTAAAATAATAAAATCGAAATATTTTTGAAATTAAATTATTTATTTGTGGTTTTCATATTTAATTTTATTTAGTTGGACTTATATTAGATGAATGCGATTTATATTTCAATTTGGCAAATAAGAAATAAAAAATTTTGGTTTTTTTTTTTACTTCTTATAAGAAATAAAAAACCCTATGAAATATAACCAAATATAATATATAAGAATGGTTCAGCAGGTTTTTGCTATCATTTCGAAGATGCTGAGGTTCTATTACCTCTATTTGTTAAAAATCCGGATGATATTGGTGACTTTCTTGTATTTTTATGATTTCCTAGCAAAATTTATCTGCTGCAACAGGCTAGCACATCAAGCTCAACCAAAAATAGCGAGCGCTCTTAGAAAATATTTCAAAATAATCGAAAAAGATTTTACAAAGTTTGCATTAATTTGCATTAATTTTTGTTTTTCCATTAATAAATATGGGCAATCTATAAAATCTATACAAATATTAAATATTAATATTAAAAATATTGAAGGATACCGATGGAACTTACAAATGGGCTCCACCTTCAAATAGTTATATGGCAAAGTATAAACGTGCTGCTATAACAAGCGATCATGGTATATGTTCTGATTTTGGAAGGTTCGTTTCTCATTTTTTTCTTCTAACGAAAATTATTTTTCTTCAAAAAGTGAAAAAATAAAAAAAGAAAAGTAATATAAATTAATTAAAGGGGTATTCTATTAAAAGGTGGTAACGCAATTGATGCAACTTTAGCATCACTGTTTTGTCTTGGTGCGACAAATCCTCAAAGCAGTGGCCTTGGTGGCGGATTTATTATGACCATTTATAATAGGTTAATCTTTTCCTTTCCTAATAATGAAATATCGTAATAATACGGTTGAAAAAATTAGTAAAAATTTATCTATAGCTGTTGACAAATTATTATTATTACATTATAATTTTAATTATAATTATAATTTTAATTAAATTCAAAACAATAGTTTACGGATGATTTTCGATCTATTGGATTTCATATAGTTTATATATAGTATTTATTTTTTCTTAAGAAAAATAATGATAAACTTGAATATTTGATATGAAACAAGATAAGGCAATGATATAAAAATTTCATTGATTAATTGAGTTGTCTGATAATAATTTGATAATTCATGTTAAAGCACAACGAAAAGATGTAATATAATTGATGCGCGTGAAACAGCACCTAAAAATTCTCATCAAAATATGTTTACCAATAATCCAAATGCATCTAAATATGGTTGGTGAGATTTTATAAATTTTTCACTTTAACAAGCAATTCGATTTGATGAGTGATTGCTGATAACACATACTTATTGCTGAGTTCTTAATTCATATTCATTATACTATTTAGAGGAATAGATTGGCTCAGTAGATTGTTATACTTCTGGCAAAGAATAAATTGTCTTTCAAATATCATCGTAGTGCTAGTGATTCACTTGTACTTCGTTCGACAAGTGATATTCTTTGTCGGAAGTCGGACAAGAGAGTGGAACGAATCTAAGTAGAAATAGTTAGTGGAAGCTTTGAGAAAAAAAATCTTTGTTCATTTCAAATGATTACTCGAAAGTTTTTGTAGAAAAAAACAATTTAATTATTATAGGTTTCCTTGCAATAGCAACACCAGGTGAATTATATGGTTATTGGTTAGCATATACTAAATATGGCAGTGGTAATGTCACATGGTCAGAAATAATTCAACCTACGATTGATCTCTGTAAAAATGGTGTACCTGTTTCCGAATTTCTTGCAAATGTATTAAAAGTCAAAGAAAAACAATTCAAAACATTACCTTATATGAGGTTCTCACAATTATTTTAGGTCTTAAAATAAATTATGTTTTTTAATTTATGTTTTTAATTTTTTAGTTTTTTTTTTCTTTAAATTATCTACAAATTCTCTATTTATTAAATATTAGAAATTGGATAAATAATGCAACGGATCGAGTTTATATTGCTGGTGATTTAATAAAACGAACCAAATTAGCCAGAACACTCGAAAGAATTTCTCGAAGTTCAGATCCAGTTGAATTGTTTTATCGCGGTGATATGGCTAATACTATAATTAAAGAAATTCAAGCTAATGGTTATTTTTTTATCAGAAATACGATGAAACTTGTTCTATTGTTTGATGGTGAAACTTACAGCATAGGCCATTAGGCAGAATGAAACTATGTTGATTAAAACAATAGTTTTATGACATTTATTTGCACTATGATAACTTAACATGAAACTTGGAGAATGAATAATACCTTTATCATTACAGTATCGGGTGAATTATATGGTTATTGGTTAAACATTAAGGTTATTTTAAAAACTTAAATATTTTTAATATATATTTTTATAAATATATTTTTAGGAGGTATTTTAAACAAAGAAGATTTGATGAATTTCAAACCCGTTGAACATGATGAAGCATTAATTAATGATCATTTCTCAGGCAGTTTAGTTATGTGTGGACCACCACCACCATCATCATTTGCTGTTTCGCAGCTTATCGTCTCTATTATGGCTAGTACGTCATTTCATTACTGCTTTACAAAAAATTAGCATTTTTGGTAAAGTAGGAGCATTTAGATGGCTATCTCGCCAGAGGCTCACTTGGATATAGAGATACAAGTGAATTCCGAGCAGTTACCGAGTTTTCAGCTTTGATGACTTGTTTATTCCCTTTATACAATCAGAATATTGCTCTTTAATGCAGATTTTGAAAAAACGAATTTTAAATAATTAAAGAAAAAATTTTATAAAAATAAATTTTAAACCTATTCTTTATTTGGATTTGAATTTTAGGTTATTAAATTTTTGAATTTTTTTAAATTTATCTTTTCCTATTTTGAAAAATATTAAAAAAAAATTATAAGCGACTATATTTCATTTTAGCTTTTTTTTTGATTTATACTCATTAAACTCGCAGATTTTAATAGAAATCTGTCAGATCGAAAGAACCACATTGTAAGAAAAATTGGAATAACTATCTAATTGTGATGAGTTTTTTTTAATAAATATAACTAATGCATGAAGTTAATAACCTAAAATTATGATTTTAAGCATTTAAGCATTTAAGTTTAATTGTATGAAATTTCATGAAACATGCAATTTTGCGTTTGATTTAATATTCGAATTTTTAAGATTAGAAGTTGCGTATAAGAATCGTAATAAATCGGTTTAATTGCCAAATTTTTCAGCCAAATTTTAAATTTCGACAAAAAAAAAAATTCATATTTCAGAATTTTATTCGCCCGAGTCGAACAAAGATTTACTCTATAAATCTCCCGAATTTTATCATCGCTTAATTGAAGCAGAAAAATTTTCTTATGCTAAACGAACTCTACTTGGTATGAAAAAAATTGCTCGATTTGCTATAATGTACATATACATATATTTTTACATATACTTAAATAATATGGTTATTATTAAATAATATGGTTATTCCTTCATAATAAATACAATAATTTATAGTTTTTATCTTGAATTTGTCAAACATAAATTTTTGTCAGTTTATAATATATAATTTGTAACATGGGGCATAGAATGGCTCAGTGGGTTGTTATCCAATTCGGAGCGACGATGTTGAGATTCTACTCCCCGGAGGAAATCTGCCCAAAAAGCCGAGTGATGCTAACGACTTACATGTATTTCTATTGTCAAGGGACTTATTTAATCTAGCTAGCGGAGCGATTTTAACTAGTAACGGCGAAGGTTACTAAAAATAAAAATTTATAACTTGGCTAATACCATAATAAAGATGGAATTGATATTAATTAATAATGATTTTTTTTGCTTCTATTTTTTGAAGAAATTTATAATTTTATTTATATATAATTTATATATAATTGTTATTCATATGGAATTTTTAGTTAATTAAAATTGTCAATATCCATTATTATTAATTAAGGCGACGAATTATTTGTAAAAGAAGCAAGTGCGCTTGCAAAAAATATGACGACAAAATTGTATACGGATTGGATTTATGCTCTCATATCTGATAAAGCACATCCATCTGATTATTACGGGGCCATGCACCAAGCTCAGGTATTGTCGTTTTCGCTTTGTTGGAATTTTTATATTTATAAAAAATTTCGGTTTTATTCTCTTATTCTTTTCGACAAAATGATATTTTGTAAAATGATATTTGTAAAATGAATGATGTAAAATGATAAAATGACAAAATGATATTTCGACAAAATGATAAATAATATGAAATGATATTTCTATACGCTAGTTCTTAGAATATGAAAATTTTTAGTTGAGCTTAACCCAAACTTATTATTTTGATAGTGGAGCAAAAAATTCGCTATAAGACATAAGTGAAAATATCTGCAATAAAGAAAATAAATTTTGATAATGATAATTTTAAAAAATTGAAATTATTTTAGAAAGAAGATCACGGTACGTCTCATGTTTCAACTTTAGATGCGCAAGATAATGCCGTTTCTGCGACGAGCACAGTCAATCGGTGGTAAATTTTTTTTTCTACAATTTTGTAATTATAAATATAGGTAATCATGTATAGATATTGGATGGCTTAGTGGGTTATTGCTCAATTCGGAGCGCCGATACTAAGGTTCTATTCCAAGCAGGAGTAAACCTGCCCAAAGATCCGGCTGATGTTGGTGACTCACCTGTATTTCTATCGCCAAGGGACTCTCTGACATATTTGTCCAATGCGACAAGCCAGCGGAGCAAGTCTAACCAGTAATGGTGAAAAGTCTATATAAAAAAAAAAAATTAGTCATGAAAGTTTTCATTTCATTATCAACGCTGATTAATATCGATATATTTTGCTATTATTTATACGACAATTGTGTGAAATTTATAAGGCTAAGTGGATTGGCAAAAGTTTAGAAAAGTTTAGAAAACTAACTTGTAGAACGCAAATCCGCTACAGTAGTTTCAAAAATATTAAGAATAACTTTGAACCTTGAAATTTATATTGATTTATACAAAAGGAGGAACGATTATCAAATTTCGTGAGATTATATCAAACTTAAGGAAAACCGTTCAGAGCCAAATTTAATACGTATATTGCCTTTATTTCTTTAAGAAATCATATTATTTACCGGCATCGCTCGGTTTAATTATTTCTTCGATCAAAGCGAATCTGTTTTGTTTTAATTACGAAATATTCATAGGTTTGGATCAAGTACAGAATCCGAAGAACTGGGAATTATTTGGAATGATGAAATGGATGATTTTTCTACACCAGGTTAATAATTATTGGCATGATGATTACAGTTTTTTTAAGTTAATTTTTCGAAATTTTTTGCTCTAATAAATCTAATTTTAAAAGTGAAGTTTAATCTGATGATTATCATCATTAAATAACGATTCCAACAACAAATTAGGAGAACTAAATTTGCAGGAATGATTAATGGTTTTGGTTTTGCACCTTCTAAGACGAATTTCATTAAGCCAGGAAAGAAACCAATGAGTAGTATGAGTCCAATGGTTATATATGATTCAATAACCGGTAAAGTAAGAATATTTTCTTTTATTTTTGATACAAAATACAAATGCAATTATGTTACCATCAATGAAAATTTGCACGATAATTTTTTTATTAAAAATTTTTAATTTTCAATTGTAATTTTTATATCTATCAAATTTAGGTTAAAATGGTGATTGGTGCATCAGGTGGTTCAAAAATAATTTCTGCAATTGCCAAACCAGTTATACGAACATTATTTTTCAATGAAACAATTAAAGAAGCAATTGATGCGCCTCTATTACATAATCAATTTACGCCTGATTTTACACAATATGAAAATCATGTTCCTCAAGTAATTTTTGCAAAAATTTAATTTTTTTTATATAATTTTTATTCTTCAATAGGAGAAAAAAAAATTACATTAATAAAGAAATTTATAGAATTATGCAAAATTTATAAATTTCATTTTATGCAATTTTTTGTTTTTTTTTTAAAAAAAAATATTATATAAAGTTGAACGTTTCAGGAACTTATGAAGATTTTAGTTTCGAAATATAATCAAAAATTTCGATTAACAAGTGGATTTGAAGGAATTGTTCAGGCAATATATGTCGATTCTAATGATGATATCTATGTAAATGGTGATTTTCGACGAAAAACTGATATGCATCCGGGTGGCTATTAATTTTTTTGCTCTAATTATTATTTTTATTTACTATACAAATTACTATACAAATTTAAATAATTTTATATTGCAAAAAAAAATAACGCAATCATGTGGGTCTTAAATTAATTTCTATTACAGCTAGTCAATGTTTCATTATTTTTCTTACATTGTTATTAATTAAAAGTATTTTAAAATTGCAATGCAAAAATTTTATTGCTATATCATAAATATTATGCAATATTGCTGAATAAAAGATATGCGAAAAATGAAAACTTATGATTATGTTCCATTTAAATATTTTTCAATATTGAAAAAAAAATTAATACTTGCAAAAGAAGTGATAAATGATAATGCGATAAGCATAAGACACTGACGTCGATCATTTTTTTTTAAAACTTGATAACTTCACGGGTTTTGTGATTTTAACATGTTTTGCATTACTATTTACTTGTAAGAATACTCATACGAGCAGAGTAGACATCTCATACTATGCCTCTTGAGATTTATTCCCATTATATTGTCTCAACGCCACTTCGAACCCTTCCACACCTACTAATTACCCACTTTTTTCCTTTGATAAATTTCCCCTCTATTCTATCATTAGCTCCTCCAGTGTATATCACATTTCCTGAGCACATCATCTTTGCAATTTCGTAATTTGCATCAAAAGTTGCGCCTAGCGAGATTTCTTTTTTAAGATTCCTCATCGTTACTGGTTAAACTCGCTCCACTGACTTGTCGCATTGGGCAATATCCCTTGGCGATAGAAATACAGGTGAGTCACCAACATCACTCGGATTTTTGTACACTCCTGCTGGGAACGGAACCTCAGCATCGGCGCTCCAAATTAAGCATAACGAGATTGGAGATATATGAAACGGAAATGATCGGTGACAGTGATGTTTAGTTCTTGCAATGAATTTGAGTAAATAGAAAAAGCCCAACTGGCCATAAAAATAACAATAAATACATTGAGGCTTTCAAAGGCTCATTTAATGAAAGAATTAGGAAAAAGGATATGGTTTCGGATTAGGAAAAAGGATAAGGATAAGGTAAGAAATAACGCATCATGGGAGATATAAAAAAATTCTAAAGCAACTGCAGAAGTTCAGCATTTTGGGGTAGCGGTCTCATTTTTCCCGGATGTACATTTATGGATAAAGTTGTGGGTTGTATTTTATATTCTATGCGAATTTGTGATTGTTAGTATAAATAAACATCAGAACATTATAGTGGGGTTTAAAATGGTGTCACCGAGATATTTTTCAGAGTACTAAGGAAGATGATAAAAAGATGACTGATAGAGTTTTGAAAATTTTCTCACAAAGCATAACAAGTTCTGGAGTAGATCAAAGAATTCTTAACATAACGAATTGGGATTTCGCAGATAATATGACGGTTTTTTTAAGATGTGTGGTTAATAAAATGGATTTTGGTACCATAGTATACCAGGTGGTTAATCATAGTGGATTAATAAAATACATGGATCTGACGAATTTGAAATGTTACTATTTGGTTTAAAAAAGAAAAATTTGATAGAATTTTTAGGAAATTTCTGTAAACATTTTCAACAAATTGTATTTATTTTTGCAAAATTTCGAATTGTATTTATCGTTATGAATTTTTTTATTTTCAAAATATAGGGGTAAAATTAGTAAAATTATTGCATATCTATTTAAAAAATAGCAAAATTTAGAAAAAATATTTTTATCACAATAGCACTTTTGTACTAAAAATAAATTTAGAATTCGATTATTAACAAATCTAATTATTTTGTTCTATAAAATATGAATCAATTTTTATATTCGTTGAATAATAGCAAATAGGAAATTAAAAAAATCTGAGAATCTAAATCGGTTAATAGAAAAAAAATTATCTCCAAATTTATCGAAGATAGAAGGTTGCTAATACGTAAATTTATATTCAGAAATATAAATTATAACAGTAAAAAGATTTCTAAATTTACTTTAAAAAATTTTCCCATTTTTGAAATAATAAAAATTATGAGACAGAATGTGAAAGAATAATTAACATATTGCATTATTAAGGAAAACAGCACCATTGATAATTTGTTAATAAAATAAAAAAAACAAATAGATGATAAAGAAAAAGTGAATAGACAATAAGAAATGAATGAAGAAATAGCAGAAAAGGTAAAGGAAAATGAAGAAGTGGAAGAAGAGGAGGAGCGAGAATGAAAAAGAAAGGAAAATTTCATTTATAACTCGATTTGAATGAATTCCTTGGTGGAAAATTGATTAATAAAACTTAATTTTTTTGTTATAGATGATAAAAATTTTATGAGATGAGTGTCTTTATTACAAGTACGACATGAAATATACATATTTGATAAAGGCATGAAAAAGGAAGAAAAAATTTAAGAAGAATATTTCGTTTCGTCATTATGAAGCGATTGTAAAGCGTAGGAATTTAGAAGTCCGCCTTTTAAAATTAACTGGAACCATAAACTTTTTCATTTTTATTCACCATAAAAAATAGAGTTTATCACAAATAGAGTTTATCACAACCTCTGTTAAGTAATAATTGCATTATCATCTTATCATTAGTAAATTATTTTGATGGAGACGGCGAATTACTCAGATCGCTTAATATCATTTAACCGCATATCTAGTGATTTCCTTTTTAAAGGATTAATTTTTCCTTAAGAAATAGCCAGCGGTGGTTAATGTTGAGGAATTGTGATGACGATGCCAACGGCATTTCAATATTCGCATATATGTTAATCGAAATCGGGCATTGCATAATGCGTAACAAAATGGATTTATTGTTGAATTTACATAACATAAAAAATATGCTATAAGAAAATACGCTTCAGGTATCGAATTTTTATAAAATGCTTCCCAACATACGATCACTGAAATTTTAAAAACAAAAGAATATCTCACTAAAAAATTTTTTCATTTTTTTTTTTTATAATTTTCTAATGATTTGATAAAAATTATTTTATATGATTTCAAAACAAAACAGAAAATCTAATTTTATGAAAAAAAAATGAGTTTAAAATTTCTTTTTCGATTTTTTGTATATATTTATCTTTCACTAAGCTAATTATATTTATATTAAAAATATTAAAAATTTCGCGTTTCTTATTATGATTAACTAACCATTATAAGGTGTCCAAGTTATAATGAAAGCTAATAAAATCGCTGAAAGAGTCTTAGCCGCTTTACTCTCCTGTTTTCGCTCATTTTTGCGGCGTTCTTTTTCACTTTTCCGTGGTTCACTGCTATTTTTTGCCCCAAAAAATAGAAAATATATAAGTTATTTTAATTAAATCAACAATTTTAATCCAACTAATTGCCTCATTAATCTTTTCCTTTTGTAAAAAAAAAATAAAAAAAAAACAAATTGCAAACGAAAACTAAAGAAGAGAATTACTAATAAAACTCATTTTGGATCAGTTGAATGATATTAAGTGAAAGTACCGTAAAATTCGACCGTTTTGCGCATTCTTTTCTGTGTTTGAGATTTCTTCGCCCCTTTCAGAACCACCGATATACTCGTTCTTATTATTACTTTTAATAATTGTAGGTGAATCAGGTGCACTAAAATAAAATATCCTAGAAAAAATAATAAAAAAAAAAGTTTTAAAAGAATTTTTAAAAGCAATCAAAAAATGATTTCATCTATTGCTGTGAATTTTTTTTTTAAATTTTGCGCATCTTTTAATAATATTTTTTTGAAAAGAAATTTAAAATTATTATAATAAAAATAAAAATATATTATAAAAATTATTTTCGTATATTTTTTTAAGTAGATTAATTATTGAATTATTATGAACGAACCATGATAGATCATCAGAATCGCATGACGATAGTCGAACAGTTGGCCTTTCTCCTTTGGTATCATTCAATTCAATTAAAACAGTATATGTATTGGATCGATCAGTTCGATATTTTGATTGCCGCGTTGGCGTATAGTAATGCTCGACATTTCCCTCAGTTATACAATCCGAATTATCCTAAATATTATTCAAAATTGATAACAAATAATCAATGAATATAAATTTAATAAAAAAGAAAATAAATTGATAAGATTATCCATTTGATAAAATTTATTTTATTTATCTATTTTTACTTTTGCTATAACCTTTTTCAGTGATTCTTAAGCCTAACATTGCAACGTTAATATTAAACCCATTAACAAAAACCCATCGTAACAATAAAGTGTCAAAGGTCGCATACAATTATGCACAAAGTTTGAAAACTGCGGCAGAACTCGAACTCACAATCTACAGAGCTGTAGTTCAACACCGTATCAAAATAATTGTAGAAAGAGTGTGAGAGGCTTAAACGACTATAAAGAAGGTTTAAGATTGCATAGTTCATTGCTAATATAATAAAGTTTCAAGATTGATGGATTCAACGATAAGATAACGATTCAATGAGAATACAAAAGAAGCCTGAGAGAGTACCACAGAAACAACGATTTCGCTATTCCTAAACTGCTTTTGTAGATAAACAAATAAGCACTACAAAATAATTAAAATTTCGCAAGAATTATTAGATTCTAGTCATTTTTAAAAAAAAAATTAGATGAACAGTTTTATTTCGAATGAGGAGATTTCTCGGCGGTGATCGTTTAGAACGACTAGCTGAAGGGCAATGTGTCCATGTACTACTCGTTAGTGAAGTTTCTTCAACATTCGCAGCTATTACTTCACTACTTTCCTCTGAAGATGCTGCAGCCTTTCCCATACAAATTTTTAAGCAACTTCTCCTATTTTTCATCTCTCGCTTCATATTGCTGAAAAAAAAAGAGTTAACAGATAATATCTAATACGATCACTTTTAAGTCAAACAATTTTCAGACAACATTCCCAGATTTGAAACTCTGCGGACAATCAAATTATTTACATAATTATTTTTGCATTTTAACTTTTCAGTCCGAATATTTTCGAAATTCACGCCAAGCGATGGCGCTAATATACGTGATGTGATAAGAAAATAGCAAAAATAAAGAAAATTGTAGAGATGAAATCGCAATCATTAGCTTATTAAATTAGCTTAAATTAGCTTCACATTACTGCTTCAACTTCAGGTTGACTATCATAAATATTAAATAAAAATATATTTAATGGTATTATCATAAATAATATCATCGAAGACACAACTGACCTTGTTTGTGGCAATCCCATTATTGCTAATTTAAAGGAATTTTTAGCTAAAAAAGAATTAGCTATTGCCGAACGTAATTTTGTGTTTGATATAGAATGGCGTTTCTAAATTTTAAAAAAATTATTCATTAACCATTATTTATATTATATTTATATTTATATTTTATTTTAAGTTTTATGAATATTTCCGAGAGAAAAATCGTTTTAGAAGTTTACGACGAAGAAGACGTTTCGCAACAAAACAAATTTATTTTATATTATTTAATAAATTAATTAATTAATATTATTAAATAAAAAATAAATATATTATAATATAATATAAAATAATAATATAAAATAAATATATTAATGCCTATCAATTGTTGGAAATCTTCATATTTCATTGTTGTTTCACTTTGCAAACTTTTATTTTATGTCATTTCAAAATATTATGAAATCAAAATTTTGAAATCGATGAAATATTTTATTTAATTGAGTTTTTTTTATAAAAACTTTGTATAGATTAGTCTCAGTTATCAAAAAGTAATGCAATAAATAAAGATAAATGAACTGATAAGCTGAAGCTGATAAAGAAAAAAAATGCTTATGCAAGAAAAAAGAGAATTTTACAGTAAGTGAAGATTTCAGTTTTTTCTTTTTAGATTAGATTAGAGAAAGAAATGAAATGGGCTTGAAGTTCCATTTGAAGAAATTTTTTATTTTTGTTTCTCTTCAATAATTAACTATTTAAATAAACGGCATATTAGTTTTTTTTTTCTCTTTCAGTTATATTAACAGGAATTTTTAAGAGATAAAAAAAAGGAAAATATATTTCTTATTAAATGCTAGAATAATTTTTTAGCATTTAAAATTTTAGCATAAAATTTGAGTTTAAAAAAAATTTCCTGAACTCGATAATGCTTGAAAGCGTTGAGGACCAGGATTTGAATTGATATAATAAGACGAGATTCTGAGCGTGCAATATATGACCTATTTGCTATATATATATGACTTTAGATGGTGGAAATAAGAATAACTTCTGTTATTTTTTGATAAAATGTTGGATTGAATGGCTTGAAAATGCTTTTTTTACGAATATATCTAACCTAATTGTGCGAGCTGTTAGAAGAAAAAGAAAGCTAAATATATAATTCCAAAAGCAACGAAAGAAAGAACGAACAGCTCCAGCTTGCAATTTTGAAAATTCTAATTGGCGTTTTCTAGTTTCGCAATAAACTCTTGAATATAAAACAATCATTATTGCTAATGGCAGATAAAATGCTGCTATAGCTGTTCCGACCGATGCAAATTGATTCGTTTCAATAAACTGAACAACGCATTTATCACTGCTAGTAAATCGGCCTGAAATTTGCAAATTGTTTTATTCGTACACAGTGCCGCTGATTTCGTTCTTACTTCATTCTTGTGCTATTCTTATAATTTCACTGAAAGCACATCAAAATTATTCATCTAATCGTAACAAACATTCATTTGCATGGAGGCAAAGCAGATCTCCTTACGATTTTTTGGTTTATTTATATTTATAGAAAATAATAACTAAATAGAGCTAAGAACAACATCATTCGCTTACAAAAAAAGGCGAATTTATAAAACTATTAACTATTAACGATATGAAAATGAATAAAGCAATTAACAAACACTAACTAAATGAATAAAGTAAGCAGAAAAGCAAAAAAAATTACCAATGAATTGCAATTAATTTAAGACGATATTATATATAATTTTTTTCTTGAAACTAAAATTTACATTCGGAGAGGTTTCGAAACCACATTTTTAGGTATCTCTATTGCACTAATAAATTAATTATACGAATTAAAATAAAACTCATTAATTTAGTTTCATTTAGATCGGTTTAAGTAACTCAATTTTTTGTTATATTCGAAGTTTGAAAGAGTTAAAATCAGAAATATTCATTTTGCGATAAATAAATGATTATCAAATGATCAAATTATCAAATGATATTATATTTTATATATATATGTATATTGTTTCATTTTTATTTTTAGAAAAACTAAAAATTCAACAATTTAAGTTTATTCGCATGCTAGAATACGAAATTCAATTCAACAAGAAATATTAATTCCTGGAAAAATTAACAAATAATTTATAAAATTTGGAATATTTTATGGTAAACAATATTCTTCAGACACTTCGCTTAAGGAAAGCTTTAAATTTATTTTTTAAAGTTTTAAATAAAAAATTTAATTTGAGTGAATTTTTTAAATTATTATGACAACTAATGTGAAAAGCTAATATGAACCATTTAAGATAATTTATTTAGTTTAATAACCACGTCGATAAATCACCAAATTATGTCTAATTTGCTTATAGCAATTTATTTTATGAAATTTTATCAAAGTTTTCAGAGGTTAAGTTAAATATCGAGGAGAATGATAGAAATAATTTTCTACTTGACCAATAGAATGGAACCCAATCAAAAAAATTGGCCATAGCTAGAAAGTATGAAATCTTTTTCTAAAAAATTCATTTTGAACTTATTAATTATTTGCCTCAACGCTATCGTATATTTTATAAATTATTAATATTATATAATTTAGGCCAAAAGATATTCATTCGCCTGTTGGCCTAAATTAATTGTATGTAAAAAATTTCCAAAATTTCATCAACATTTTTTTTTTACTTTATTATTTTCTAATACTGAATATTTATTTTCTTTTGGCATTGGCAGCTAATTAGGCTTTTTTTTTTTTTTTAATTCCATTAAAGATCTAAAACCGATAGTTTATTTTGAATGAAATAAAAAAAAATTAGTTTTGCAATTTAATTGAATTGAAACTTTAAAAATAACCTTCAATGTGTGGCCAACTTATAATCCATGGTGGCCAAAGAATCAGTGATATGATGTAAGTGCTTGCAATCATTGTTAACGCTTTCTTTGCTGTCCGCCTAAATCAATTAGCATCAAATATATGAAATATTTTTTGATAATAATAAGTAAATTAGCGAAATTATTTATTACCTCGGACGATAGGTTAATGGTCTAGTAACTGAGAAATATCGATCAAATGATATTAAAAGTAGGTTAAGTACTGAAGCATTAGACATAAAATAATCAAGACACAGCCAAAATTGGCACATAACATAACCAATACCCCATTTAGTATCAGCAGCAACATAATAGGTCATTAACGGTATTGATACCATACCTTTAAATGAGAACTTCAAGAAAGCAAAAAAAAAAAATTGCAAATTATTTTATATTGCAAGAATGCTTTATGATTAAGCGTGTTATATTATGGTGGTGCATAATTAAAACCTATATTGAGCTGGAAGCTCACCATGTCTGATAAGGCTCGCTTCACTAGTTTGTTTGTCTGACTAGACAAAATTCGCCAAGTAGCCACTTGGGCGACAGAAATACAATTTAGTTTTTATATTTTTATATTACAATTCTTCAGAATTTTTTTGAATCTAAAAAAAAAAAAAGAAAATTTAAATTTTTTTTAGATTTTTGATAGATAAGTTCTATGTTTTATCGATAATTATTTAATTATATTTAATTTATGATAATCAAAATAGGAAAAAATTTACCAATAGCAATATCGGCAACAGCTAAACTGAATAAAAAATAATTACTTATCGTTTGCAATTGCCTATCCAATTTGAAGCTAACCATAACCATCAAATTGCCTAACGTTGTTAAAATAGCAAATATTGAGCCGATTACTATAATACATATTGATCTTAAAATAATAACGAGATTAGCAGATTTATATAAAAGAATGTTATTTTAAAAATTAAAAAAATGCGAGTTGTAAATATTTCAACGATATCTCGCATTTGACCATGCAATTTATAGAACTAATGAAGTTTTGCACTAAAAATGGTGAATGAAAGTTAAAATGATATTCAAATGAATCAAAGCTTAAATCTTATAATTGGTGAAATTTTAATAATTTCTTATATCAATTTATATCAATTTTATATCAATTTTGTATCAAAAAATATGCTAAAATACAGTTTAGATATGCAATTTATGCAAAGATAAATTTAAGAGATAAGATAAAAGATAAATTTTAAATTCTCATTAATTTCAAATGTAATTGTTTAACGAACGGACAAATCTTGTTGTAATTAATTAAGTAAAATAAAATTACAAATATTTCAAGATTTTTCCACTAATTTTTTTACGTTCATATTTCAAAAAATTCAAAAACATTTTACAATGATTTAAAATCTATTATAATTCTGACAGATATAATTGCCAATTCATTTTTGTCATTCTCGTTCAATGCTATAATGTTTTAGAGATCAAATGGAAAAATTTTTTTAATTTAGCATTAATTTTCGATAAAGTCAATATTATTATATTTATTTTATAAAATAAAAATGAAAATTTCTATTAAATAATAAAATATTTTTCAAAAAAAAGCGATACAATCATTTGTGATATTCATATTTTTACTATTTTTGATAGAATTTATTTATTCGACGAGTGAAACCAGCGAAATTCTTTAAAAGCATATTTTTAATCTAATTAAGTAATACAAAATAGAGAGATAATAAAATTCAAATTAGCAAGATCCAAGCCTCAGGTTTTTTCTCGGTTTTTAGGTTTTTTTACCTTAGACGTGCACAATAATAAATATTTGTGGAGTGTATTTCTTAGAAATCCAAATTGAGTATTTTTAATGGGAATGAAATGAACGCTCAACTCAAGGACGATCCTATCGAGTATCGGAAGAATTTTCTAAAGTTCAATTTATCACAACAGTTTATCATAGAAATAATCGAAATGAAATTATCGCTAAATATATAAATATATTAAAAAATTCAATTCCGATTATTTTGTGTAATTTTTGAATAATTTATATATAGAAATTCAAGTTATTTGTATGAAACGCGTAATATATTATAGGCGATTTAAAATTCCATAAAACTAAAGCGATTCGCAATTTTGCAATAAAAATGACGGATGATTTGAATATTTATTGAACTATTCTCACTCCACTGCTTATCACCGATTATATTTTTCAAAATATTCACAATCTGTGAACGCTCGACCAACAAGTATGTATAATTCGATTGAACAAATAACGAGATTTCTGACGCATTTTTTTTCGAAATAACTCAGGTTTTTTACAAAGAATAGAATAATAACGATTGATAAAATCGGAAATCCGATCGTTCAGAAAATAGCATTGATTATAAATGGCAAAAATTGAATTGGATGTCAGAATAAGTTGGTTATCGCCAAGTTGATTAAATTTTACAAATTACTATTAAAAATCTTGCAATAGCATGAAAAAAAAAAAACTAACTTGGTTTGATGCCATACAGCTATGTTAGATTGAACAGAGCCGTTGAGTAATAATGGACTGTCGAGATCTTTTAATAAAGCATTATTATTAACAAAATTTTGTGGAATGCTTAAAATATTATTGCGCATTGGTAATGTCGTCGTGGACACTAATTCTCTTGGAATTGATGTCGATGACAATACCTTAAATTATGGCCATAATGATAAAATAGTGTTGATACGACGATTAAAATGATAAAACAACCAATTAAAATGCATATTTTTTAATTTTTAAAGTAAATTGATGAGATATAAAAAAGAGATTTGAAGGATAGAAAATATTTTATGGATGTCTGGATTTTCCGATGTGTAATGAGCAAAATTTCTTCCTCCTTAGCTAAAAATTGGTTGGATATTTCTTGCAATTTTCAACTTATTTATAAATGCTAATTTAGTTAAATATGTGAACTTCAATAAAAATGCCTTGCAACAAATATTATCAAGAAGATTCAAGGAGTTGAGTGTTTTGTAGATTAATCGTAGGCAAAGTTAAGCAAAGTTCACTTTCTTCGAGATAAATGTTCATTAAGCACTTTCCGCAAATGTACTGATTATCATTCATTCACCTATCATTTTATCATTCTATCATTCACCTCAATTCAACTTTCGCGAATTCCAAATTCATGAATAATTTTGTAAACTAGTAGTCTAGAAGAGGTAAATATACGGCGAATCTAATAGTGGGATTCAAGATCAAATATACGATCTTTATTTCCTTAAAATATTATCGAACTGATATCGAAGAGTTATGGGCTCCTTTGCAATTTTTTAGCACCTTTTAAATTCATGATTCTTCCTTTTTTTTCGAAAATTTTTACACTTCACTGTATTTTGAAGAGTATTTTTCGTTTCATAAGTTAGTACAATACTTGGCAATGCTATCTTTACTTGTCCTTATGTTATGTGCCTAAATATAGAATTTTTTTTTTTTAATTTGGGCAAAATTTATGCCCCCTTTATAAACATTTTATTTCAATAGAAATATTTCATTAAGTCAAGTCATTGTGAATGATATATACAGTACTGGAATATGATTGTTGATTTTGCTAGTATTCGAAACTAAGAACATCATGGATAATCAAAATTTCATACTATGGGTGAGATAAAATATGGAAGTGGCACTATAAATTCTTCTGGTACCACCATTAAACAGAAAATAAAGATAAATTTTATTAAATGATCTTTATCCGCAAAAAAGCACTTTTTCGATAATTTTATTCTAGTCGAAGAGAAAAGCTATTTTTGTAGAAAACTTAAAAAATATAATATATGAAAAATATATGATTGATATTAATCTATTTGATTGTACTAATTGAATAAATGAAGGCAAATTGAAAAAATTTCCCTCTCATTTTAACACTACACACCACTTCTAATTTGCTGGTAATATTGACTATATTGTGGTGCAAAATCATTTCGTCATAGCGATGCGTTGAAATAATGGTGCAAGCATGTCCCCAGTAGTCATTTCATTTCCAATTAAAGCTTTAGACTCCTATCAACGAGCCGGAATCGAACAGGAATTGCTTGCGCTTAGCCGAACAGACAAACAAACAGCTCAATCACTTTTCTATTGAAAAAACGTCATTTCATGTATTGGAAAAATCTGAACAAATTTCTGTAAAAAAAAACATGAAGCAATGATCGAAAAGATTAACTCACTTGCATAATAATTTGAAATAATTTGGTATTTATTATAGATTGAATTGATTCTGTTTTATTCAACATAACATTGTTATATGCATGCATCATCACCTTTAGAGAATATCTAAAAAAAATTTCACTATCAAATTGGTAATTTGAGGGTAATTGACAGTTGTAAAGAAGATAAGTGGAAATCTTCTATTGGTGCTAGGGGAGTGGATATTCGAAATTGTTATACACAGCGCCTGGTTATTCTAGCTCTATTCTTGCTACAAACGAGGCTGCAGACCCAGACTGCATTTCAATAGGTAAGTGGATCTTTGGAGCAATCGATCTATTTCATTAATGATGATCGAGTCTATTAAAAAAAAAGTGATTTCTAACTACTGAATTTATATACTTTACTACTGCTTCTCATGAGATGCAAGGAGATAATCAAGTTGTTTCAAGAATCATAGATCTGATCCCAAGTTTCTCCCACGTTCACCTATTATCTGTATGATAACAGCGACTCATCTACACTTTTATACTCTTCCACTAAGTATTTGGGAAAAACCGTATGGTAGAGCGACATTGACAAGAAATGGCTAGCGTTAAAAAAATGTAAAATATATTTTTCATAAAAATATAATTATGGAATTTTTCTTTTTCAATCATTTATTTTAATTTTAAATAGAATTTTAATTAATTTTAATTTTAAATGCAATAATTTTTGAGATAATTGATACGATCGATCTCTATCACATATCACTTAACCTTATTAAAAATTTGATTTATGATGATAATGATTTAATAAAATAAGTTCAACTGGTGAAAATCTTTTAATTTTTAAGTTAGCTTAGACTGGCTAAAAAATTCAAGTAAATTCATATAATCTTTCCACAATAAAAATCATTCTTTTACGATTATCTATTTCAAAGTATAAAGAAAAAAAATATTTTTAAAAAAATCTTAGAAAAGATTTGATATAAATGATACTACTGATACCTTCTCAAATTCTTGTTCTCTGATATGTTATCGCAAGAACTAAAATCTTCTTAGCTACCTTAAACTACAAATATCTACAAATAGCTACAAATATCGCATTGCTAATCGTATTCTTCGCTCTGTTTGGAATTATATGTTAGATGAATTATGATGTTGCCTTCAGTAGGAAAATGTCTGCTATTAAAAAATTCGAGTGATATCGGGAATCCACCTGTATTTCTTTTCCTTTTCAGCTGTTTCTCTGAAGAAAACATCTCACGACAATAGTGCGTAGAACGAGAAGTTTATTCGATGAATTCTCGCCATTGATTAACCACTGGCCAGTCTATTATTAAAAAGAATCAGAAAACAAAGACGAGGGCAGAAGCACGTCAGCATCATATTTGCTATCACAATTTGCTATTGCTAAAATTGCAAATGACTCGAAGAGAAATTCATTTAAAATCCAATTATGAAATAAAATTAGGAACAAGCCGAAGAAATTCGGAGATATTTTCGATTCCACGCATTAAGTATGGATTATGAAACCAAATTTATACAAATAATGAACAGCTGATCACAATATTTTAATAAAATAGTTTAACAGTATATATTTGAGTATTTTCAAGACAATCCCATTATTATTGTTTTTATTATTATTATTATTATTATTATTATCATTATTATTATTATTATTATTATTATTATTATATATTTCTCGTCATATCTTTCTTTATTTCAGTTGAATAAAATGAAAAAACGATGATTAAAGAAGATCAAAAATTATGTGCTGATTATCAATCCAAATTTTACAATTTTCTGCATCAACCAAATATTTATTTCATTCTGCTTATTGTGCTGATATTTCCAGTTGGATAGCTTTTCAAATTAAGTACCACATTTACTTGTATAAAACTATATATATATATATATTCATAAATAGAGGTTGAATGGAAAATAAATTCCTCTATTGAATATATTTTAAATCTTATGCAGTCAGCTTTAATTCTTTTTTCTTTTGACTTAAAGCTTTGCCGTAAGTACCATCCATTCATTCTTTATTCGTATTATTTGCAAATCGCATTTTTTTACCTATTGAAATTGTAATTCTAATCGCGATTAATGCTAGCGGCTCACCTGTATTTCTATTATCAATCGACTCCTTGACTTATTTGCCTAGTAAGACAAG